CTGTGGTCGCGATGTTGAACGCATTGATTTTGACGTTGGTAAGTCCAGGCGTGAGGATATCCTTGACTTGATTAGTTCGTGTTGAATGAAGTCACATTCTCAAATGATGTTCGAAATGATGTTCTTACTACTAACGATATAACGAATCAATGATATTTCATTATCAAAAGATCATTGATTTTTTTCTTTCATTAATTTTGACTGATCATTATCAATCTTAATTTTTTGATTCTTTGATCGTTGATAATCATTGTCATTCGTTTCGATAATTGATTTTTTATTTGACGAATGCCAAAGATGCGATCGTATTAAATATTTTGACGAAGATGTCGATGCACGTGTCAAATCGACGATCGATAGATTTTGAAAGAAACTGTTTCTCAATATTTCCATTTGCGTGAGAATGTTATTTGATCCTTGGCTTAACATTTTAAGGATCGGTGTACGCTAGTGTTGGTTACGACATTAATTTGTGTCCCCAGTATCTAAAATGTCCCTCTTACAACCGATTAACTAACGATTTCGTTCGAGTCAATTCGAAAGCTCGAGCGAAAGTCGCTTAATATCTGATTTTTCACTTGAAGGTACTTCACGTGAGCGGGCAAATCGATATCATGTGCGAGGAGTTGAAAACCATCTCTTCCACGTGCAAATCCAATCCGTCGTCCACGAAATCGCTCGTCAAACTACACCAGAAGATCATATCGCTGTCGAATAATATCGAGAAGTTCTTTTCGTTCGTCGCGCTCTTACAATTCATATGGAACACTTTAGTTATTTGCTCTATTGGATTCATGGTCGTGATAGTGAGTAAGCTTGCTATGACAACAGCTTAGCCTTTGCAAAAGATGTCCTTTGAATTTTGAAATTATACGGGTGATTACTATTATTATTATTAGTATACTATATTTGTGTAAAAAATGTATGCAGTTTAATTTTTGAGTACACGCAGAATGCGATATAACATTTGGCGCAACAATATTTTAAAAATACTCACGCTTTCTGAATGTTTGTTGTCCCGTATCTCGTAGCGCATAAATTAACATCTCATTACTTAGTCCTTAGATACGAACACGGAGAGTAAATCCGGTGTAATGATACAATTTATTATTCCGTATCTCGCAGTAACTATAGAAGCGTTTGTTTTTTGTTTCGCCGGCGAGTACTTGAGCACTAAGGTTAGCACATTTCTTTCGTTTATCGTCAGTCTGCTGATTGTAATATTTTCAATCATGAAAACATGAGTTTCTTTTTTATAAATCCATACTAAGAAACGATCGAATCACAAGCGTTTTCAGCTGCTTAAGAAGCTCTTGTAGCGCTGTAATATACATACAATTTTGTAATTCGTAATGTTCCTTGGATTTTCAGAGCAGGTCTATCGGCGACGCTGCATACGAAGCGGTTTGGTATGATTTATCCATCAGCGAGTGCCGAATTTTATTATTCGTGATCCTCAGGTCTCAAAAACGATTAACGATCACGGCTGGGAATGTCATGGATCTGTCACTCGAAGGTTTCACTTCCGTAAGTCTTTCGCGTTAAATATATCCCTTTCAACTTTTTATTTCAAATAAACGATCAGTATTGTGAGATTGTCGAGTGAACGTCTAAATCCGAATTATATTAAATAATTTAAGAAATGTGCCAATATTTGTGTCAACTATTATTAGCCTTTAAAAAAAATTGTTACTGTTAATATTTCTATCTGCATATGAACGTCTTTTTAGATCATGAAAGCTTCGGCGTCGTATATTTCAGTGCTGCATGCGATGTACTGAGAATCGAATCAATTTCTGTTGATTGTACGTGTACAGTAGATAGATTTATCGTGTGTGAAGTAGCAATGTACATTTATAGGACTGATAAAGATAGATGATTGACGTTGATTTCGCTTCTCTTTTGTTTCCGACAACCATTCATCGATTTCACTCAACTTGACAGAACTCCTTATGTTGCGTCGTTCTTTTTTTTTAACAAGAGGTACATGTGAGACGGAAGATCAGTCAAGTCCATTTTCTTGACAAATTCTCTCCGAAAATATTCTTTCGTCATAAGCGACTTTAATAAATCTGCGTCCAGCTTTCAAATTATCCGGTGAAAATGTGTGTGTGTATGTATATGTGTGTGT